GTTGTCCACTGAGGTAATGGGGCCTTCTGGTTGAGGAGGTTCAATGACGGTGGAAAGTAACCGCCAGTTTGTAACTGAAAGGTTCAGTGGTGTCACTGCAGAAATCGCTACCTAACTGTGAGCCGATGATACCTACCTAGACGCAAGTCATGTGTTGTAAGAGTTAAAGGGTTGGCAGAAGTTGTACTGAATCCATTGTGGTTCTAGACTAGTGATCATAAAGTAAAATTGACACATAACTTAGAATACGTGAGAAGACTCGTAAGATACTGATAAACTCGCTCGATTGTGTAATACGTAGTTCTTTAAAACAAAGTGCGTGGGCGTTTGTGTAATACGAATTAACTTAGAAATAGACGAGATTTGTGTAACGGATAGGGAAGAAATGGTGGGAATAGGCAGTCTATCGGTTAATCCATCGATTCTAAATGCGGTCCACGGCAGCAACCTGACCGATCGATGTGGCTACAAATGTGGTGAATTTGTGCTACTTATAAGTAGTACAGTAGTATCGATGAATTAGGAATTCACAGCATGCTCATCCGCGATTCTGCTCATGAGATGCTCAAAAAAAGCTATCATCAAACCCTTTGGAACCCAGCCAGTGGGGCGAAGGTACATCGCATGCTGCTCACACATATCGACCATGTGCAGAAGCAAACGAAAGACCTGAACGGAAACTGTCAACCAGGAACTCATCTGTTAGAGCCTCCAGATGCAAAAACACGCGCGGTATGATATTACAACGCTAAGTTCGCTTGATGTAGCATGCAGGCAGACGGTTCCTTTCTCGCGCTTATACTTCCGACTCTGTTCTTTCCAACCATTCGAAAATCGCATGCTTGGGCAGAAGATAAACAATGGAAGGTGCATAAATAAGTAGGCATCGTCAGAAAAGTAATAAATTGTATAAGGTATAAATGCACAGTGATCTGATATAAAGATGGACGAAAAATCATTAGATGCGGAACACAGTCGCAGTGGATTGGGCGATGATAGAACAACCGGGAGCTTTGTGAGTGGCCTCGTGCACGCTAGCCTCCACCTCATCTGTACCGAAGGGCTTGTTCGGGGCGATGGTAATGCAGGCGTAACTGCCGGACGACTGGCCTCGGGATACATGCCCCGGATTGACGCACAATACACCCTCCACGTCCTGGAATGCAAAGGCAATAGGAGTGTAGTGAGTGAAGAGAATGGTACTTCTGGTTTTCCTGAGTAGATCAGACACGTCAAATCGGTTATCCTCGCGTAAGAGTCTGAAATCGAGTCCCGGAATTTGTTACGGATGTGCCATGGACTGAATCGATTTGCAGTGAACTCACATATACAATATACGCAAACCTCGCGCATACGCAGTAAGGGTGCCACGAATGGCCGTTAAAACTTGCCACCTTGTGCTGAGTGCTAGCAGCATGGCTATTTGTCTAGACCAGTGGTTCTCAACTTGCTTGAGGCTGTTATTCACAAATCTGGTTCACTTTAAACACAATTAATTTAGTCTAAAAAGTTAATTATCTATTAACAGTTGCAATTTTTGCCTTAAATTACGGAAAAGGAATACTATTTTAAGTGCTTTCAAACTTAAATAAAGAGGATAGCTTCTGCTGAGCCACTTTTAAATAATCAAGAGGTGATTTGCCTCAATGAGACGGTTGATAATTCTTAGTTCTAACAATTTCTGGTATATTTGGCGCGGCTTCGGCTAATGTACATCGTAAGCTGTGCTCCAAGTACATTCGCTCCCTTGGTCAAACATGAACAGATGTCACTAGCTTCTCATTTAATTTAGCCATCCCTTCCCAGTACGTCCTGGATGACAACTTCCAATCAGCACTCTCTATCGATACGTCCTGAACACTTATCGCTTGTGTTGTCCCTTCTGCCTTGTAAACATTCGCTCGCTCCTTTACCTGATCGACTGATTTACACTCCCACATTAGTGTTCAATCACCTCTGTAATTCGACCCGGGGAAGGATTGCCCGACTCAAAAGTATCACAATCGACGAGCAAGCTGAGAGGCGTCATCTAGATGCGCTGATTTGCAGGCTTGTATTCGTATTTTAGGTGGTGAAATATCACCGAAAATTGTCTAATTCACTAAGCACTCACTAATGATTACGCAATGATGATTAATCAATGGTGGTTAGGTAGTTAGTTACATGTTTTGGTAGAAATAATTTTGTTTGGCAACAGACTGATGACCCAATCATAGCACTTATACTTACTCCCGTAGAATCCCATTTTACCCCCTTAAGGGTAATTACCCTTAGGCTGAGAATCACTGATCCAGAATCACCTACACGCTCTTCCACTTGATATCGGCAATAATAATGGCTCCCTATAACAGTTATAATCAATATAGCGCATAAACTAAGTTTAGGCTAATAATGCGCGGTGAAGCGTAAGCGAAGGCTAGTGCAGGCTATTAAAAAAGGGGCTATCCCCAAAATCTCGGTAAACGCAGTAAAGTAGAAAGAGGATAGGTATACTCTTTGAATAGTGAGTTTAGAAGGCAAAATAATGTGTAAGATAGTGAATGGCTAGGTCTACGAAGCGCAGGCACAGGGCTTTAGCAGAAAAACGTGACAGTGGAAGTATCCATAGACTAAGGTAGAATGGCTTGAGCATGAAGTGTGTATTGCTGAAACTGTAGAAATTCAAAACAAACGTAAGCGTCGTTTGGTGAAATTCACAGAAGTGCTGGAATGTCGGGGGAAAAAAACCTGGTTTGTAGAAATCAAGCTTCATACCGAGTTATGATCGCAACCACCACCAACAGTATCAACATCAGTGCTTGCTGTTGGTGCAGGTGTGTAATTTCATTAATAAAGGAAGAGTGAAGGTGGACTTAAAGCTGTCATGAGGAGAATGTGCATATTACACATGTACAAATAGACAAACGTTGCTACGGCGTACTTTTACAAACTGACGCAGCCTGGAAGGGACAATCAAGCAGTGTGGAGTGACGTGCAAGTGTGAGCGTCGATCCCACAGCGGGTAGTCCAGAGGAAGATCGTCCGCGGGTGGATGGACGGGATAAAATGACTCCGAGGCGAAGATGTGTCTACAAAGGCGAGCAATGCGATCGTCGGAGCACCTGGAACAAAAAGTGGGTAAGAGAGAAATTAGATGACAACCAAAGATGCCTGGGAGGCGAGAGTTGGGTCCAGAACCCGGTATCAAGCGGCACGAGCAGTAAACCAGGATTTGCTGTCACATACCCAACGCTAATTGCATGCGGACTGGGATACTGTGAGGTTGCCAGCAGTAATGCAGCCGTAGGTCGATGGCACGTGACAAGCACAGGTACGATTCGAGTAACTGGTTACGATGTTAAGCAAAAACATATCACAAGTTTGCAAGTGAACGCCGTCAGGTTAGATAAGTCAGTTTCACTTGTGAGTAGAGAATTCTTGATATAATTATTATGGATGGTTCATCGTAGTTAAATGGCACTCCCACACAGCCGAAGAAGCATTAGATGGCCGTTTCATCCCAAAGGGATGCGTCAGTGATGCGCAACAAAGTGTTATGTCGTACACAGCTGCTATACGAGAAGCAGTAACTCAAGGGGCCAACTGCAAAATTCGCAACTTACATGGGAATGGAAGGCAAGTCAGGCTGTCTCGTAGTTAGATTATAAGACAAGATATTCGGCCACCATCACCTGCGGCCTACTCGTATAAACCGTTGACCTTATGCGCGCTATTCATGATGGACTTGGGAAGCGCACAACATTGAACATCCTCATCGGGACGAAACAACTATCAAGTGCTTCCTCTGATCTGAGAAAATCTGTCTACAAGCCAGCCGCGATAAATTGTAAACAAAATCAGTTTCAATCCATTGTCAGAGACGAAGGAATACTATGGAGTAGCGCGACAATAACAATCAGAATAATGACGGTCGGACCAGTATCAGGTGAAATTGGCTCGATGTTTGGTGCACAAGAAGCGGTAGGACGCCCGGCACCAGCGAGTATGAGTGGCACAAACTAAGAATGAACAAATAGTCAGGTCGAAAGTGGCGGGTCGGATTCGTTGGTAACCAGTCGCTACAGGATAGAAAACCTTGAGAAGTAAACAAAATCCCGAGAGCTATGAAGCTTGACCAAGGAATTTTGAACAGTTCGCAAAAGGATAAAGACAAGGGAGATTCGACAAGGACAGTTAATCGTTGGGTTCGTAGGGTCAAAAAACAACTGGACAAAGCCTTGATATGTCTGGAAACAAAGAGATGAATAAATACCATCCAAACTGCTCGAAAAGAGTGTGCATTCGAATACAATCGAACCCGCTTTATTGCTCAGTTTATCAAAATAAATTTTTTTCATAAATATGATAACTTTTCATTGTCTAATTGCCCATTACCTGGGTCGTCCCATCGCCTAATTGCCCAGCCACATGAGCTGTGCTTTTGTTGCTTTGCCAATTTTATGCCGTCGCTGATTATCTTTTATCACGATTATCCCATAGCTAGTCATTCCGATCGAGTCAAGAACAACAAAGATGTCAACGGCGTTATTGACTGATCAGAAAAGGCTACCTACATCATTCAATACACGAGCAAGCTAAATGTAAAGCCGGCTGTGGGCAAACCCTCGACCTTATTCGAAACTCGAGAACTGAGCAAAGTCCAGTAATCTTTCTCTTCCACCTTTGTTAGTACTCTATTGGTTAGGCACAAGCTTGAACAGCAACAGAAAGGAGTTTTCCCTGACAGAAAAGTTGGATGTTTTGGACAAAATGAAAACTTATCCACCAGAAACTTCGCAGGCCAAGTTGTCGCGTGATTTACATATTTCTTGTCCAACGGCACCGCTAGCTATTAGAAAAGGAAGCGATGTGAAAAGGATGAAGAAGCCGAAACTGAAATGAAAGATGATCTCGGTTCGTGAGCACAACCAAAGAGTTACAGGCCCGCTTATGAAGAAAAAAGCAGAAGAATTCGGGGAAATACTTGAAAAAGCCTGTGCTGGCACAGAAGAAATCGAATTGCGTATAAACATGCGCATGGCGAAAAGACTTCTGCAGACAGGACGGTCTATGAAAATTGACTGAGAGATCGACTTCCTGAAATTTTAAACGCATTTGATGAGAACGTGCAATATGAAGACGAAAAAGGGCTTTCTAATCGAGTAACTCTAGAGGACTATTTGCGTTCTTCTGCCGACAAACTCAGCGGATGAAAAAAAACCATGGATAGGATCACACACCTGTGCTGCGCTAATATGTCAATTACGGATAAAGGACAATTAGTTTTGAATGGAAAAAGTAAGAAACCAAGATGTTTTAATGGTGCGAATGTGGACACACGTCCTGTAACTTAAAAATGCGGGGATGACGAAAGAACTTTTCACCGAGTGGGTCCTGGAATGGGACAAAGAGCAAACCAAATAGGAAGGGAAAGGTGACGGTAAACAACCTTGGATGACAAAGCCGGAGACAATGAAGCGTTATAGTTCACTTTAACCCTCAATGTACCTACATTACTATGGCATTTCCTGCAAAGTTGCAAAAAAGCTCAAAATTTTGCAAAGAATGCGCAAAATTATGCAGAAAAAAGTCAAAAAGGTTGCAAAACACGCTGCGACTGGCGAGCTGCTCAGAGTCAACCCTCTGATCTTAAGTGTGTTCTCATTGGCCCCATTCCAAGGTTCGGTGCCTTATTCTGGAGAGGTGAGCGCGCTGCCCGTTGACTGGGTGAGACTTGTGAATAAGCCTTAGAGGTATGCACTTCGACGGTGCAACGGGCTCGTATGCGCCCCCTCACGTCCGAAACGGTGAATCACAATTGGTCGGAGAGCAATGCACAGCTGAAACATAAGCACATGACCGAAACTATTTCTATGATACTGACGTCGTCCGCATGCCTTCTCGCGTTCGACAGAGTATCTTATCAGACATTCGTGACCGAGTTTTGAGCGCCTTCGTCAGCGGTGATGACTGGCAGCTGGTGACAACTGTGAACAACGTCAAATATCAAACAGCCTACTCCTGTATTCGTCATTCTCTTGTTCAGGACCCGAATACTACGCAGGCGCGCGGTCGTAAGCGGACTCTGTCGGAGGAAGATGTAGATGACATCCTGGATTGGATTGCAAGGGACTCAACTCTTACGCTACGGAAAATGCGAGTACGAGCAGAAATGGACAAGGACATTTCGAAGTCAACAATCGCACGGCATTTAGATGGTCGATTGATAACTATGAAGAACATCTATCAGGTTCCCGAAGGAATGAACAATGAGCGAACCAAAGGGATACGTAAGGAATTCGTTCAACAGTTTCTCCAACTTGAAAGTGATGACAAGTTCTTCATTTGGATTGATGAAGTAAACTTCAACGTTTACTGCAAACGTACTCGTGGTCGGGCGCCCAGAGAAGTGAGGGCCCGTTGCAAAGTTGCTAACAGTAAAGACATCCATTTGCATTTGATCGGTGCATTCACAATGGAAGGGAAAGTGTCGATGATCACCCGGAAAGGCTCATTCACAGGTCCCCTATCTCTCGAATGGCTGCGAAGCTATTTAGACAACCTGAAACGGGAGATGAAGCTCCGGCAGGTTGCCATGTTGTGTGATAATGCACCATGTCACACAACACTGGAAGAACTGTCGTCAGTAGATGGATACGAAGGAGTAACCATATTGAGATTGAGCCCATACTCTCCGTTCCTCAATCCGATCAAGAATGTTTGGCAGGTGGTGAACGCCAGAGTGCAGAATGAGATGAGAGTGCATTACGAGGAACTTCCGACCGGTGATCCCCATAAACTCATGATGCAGACGGAATAGAGGCTGCAGTTTCTTGAACGCGTTGCCGGAGCAGCCAGCAAGGATATCAGTGTTGTGGGATGTCATAACGCTATTCGACATATCCGTGTACACTTTTTCTAATTGTCTAGAAAATATAATGACATCTTTTGATCACGTTGGTGGCCTATTTTTTTACCTATCTGGTTGTATAGTACGTCACTGGCAGCGCCTAGGGACGCGTGAGTATTCACAGTGTTTTCGAAATATGTATGCACATGCGTAAGTTTATGTGCTCGTACGGGGGTTGAAGCGATATCTGATGTCTAGCGCAAGGGAGTGGCACGGGACCGGCTTCCAGTGAGCCATGTCCGAGTGATATGTTCAATTTATGGTCCTTTTCGTGCTGGCCTTCACTGCGCCGTACTTTTTCATGATTAGCCTGAAATAATGTAGATAGAGTTTCTTTGTTCGGAAAACTAGGATGTTTGGAGAGCGCATTGTAGGATCAAGTGAGTTTGCCGTCAGATATATCACAGAATGGGATATCGGCGTGGATAGTTGAATAGTAGTGAATATGCAATTACTGTGCACGTCATGTCAGCCTTTTCTAGGAGTGAGAGGAATTGATAGATGCGCAGATGCGAGTTCGCAAACGGTTCCATTGCCAGACAAGATGGGGTCATTGAAGCTGAACGAATGAATCGTGTGTGTAATGGAAACCGTCTCTGTGCGCTGTTTGTCCGCAGTATTTGAGTGCACTGGTGGTTAATTCGTTACCCGATTGGAAGTTGGTCTGTCAAGTTCGGAATCCACATCAGCCGGTTCGGAAGCTGCACTATAGATGTAAAAGCAAGCATTCATACAGCAGGCCCAATTTAATTTGCTTGCCAGAGAGGCCCGATTGGCTGTCCAGTACGACTTGGATACTGTCTTGATCGTTGGGATGCTCCGTCGTTTGACCCAATAGCTTGGGTAAACAAATGGGGTTGTAGTTGGCGTGGATACAGTGGCGTAGCAACTATTTGTGCTGTCAATGGCGGATGTACAATTGCTGCCGCTCTCGCAGTTGTAAAGCCCACAATTGAAATTGCTATTAAATATTTCGTTTCACATAACCACAATCAGATTTAGTTTTATAGTGCTGTGGTGAATGCAGCTATTTGCATTGTTAGTATAGTCGTGTTCAAAATGTACAGGCACACTTTTCGTGCGCTGCTTGAAGACGCTGGCATCCGCGCTGAATAAATGCTCATCGAACGCAATGGAAGATCACTGGTCGATAATCCGGCGGATTTTGTTAGCCGCGGGATGTCTTAATGTGGCAAATCAGATCACCAATCT